GTTCAGCTTAGATGTTTGGTATGAGCCTAGCCACAGTGGATGCATAGTCCTGACAGTGAAGCACAGAGGTGGGAGTGCGATGATATGTAGCTGCATGAGCGCAAAAGGTGTTGGGGAGATGACATTTCTAGATGGAACCATGAGTATCTGTGGATATACCAAAATACTGGCTGGTAAGATGACTCCTAATCTGCAGAAGCTTGGCAGAAGAAGGAATATTTCAGCATGATAAAGATCCAAAACAAAAATTACACAAGAGTTTCTAAGGATGAAAAAAGTCAAAACTATGACCTGGACAAGTGTGTCACTTGACTTAAATTCAGTTTTTATGTGATAACAAGCACTTCAAAGTAATAAAAGATACTGCTGTGACATTATGATTGCTCGACAAATTGCTGCAATCAAGTTTTCAATGTTACTGCAAACCTCGATTCCACTCACACGCAAGCGACACCTGCTCTGCTTACATACGCACTTCCTGCTCAACGGTTATCTGTATGCTGAAGTCTTACAACCCAAAAAGTTAAATACATGAGTCATACTTCGGAATGCTGATGAGGCCGCTTCATACAACTTACTTAAGTAATCAGCTCCACAGAGTCTCACAGATTTTCTGGGCTGATTTTTTTTTTCTTTTTAATTAAGATGAGAGTTAAAAGTGCTGCCTGTGAATTAAGCCACCTGCTCATTTATAAATGAAACTGCAGCAAGTTAGCAGCGAATCCTCTCCATCCAGCATGTGTCGCGCAGGACAGAACGCAGCACATGTTGCTCTCTTCTGTTCATTTTGTAATTAAGCACAATTAAATAATGAACACAAGTTTCTGTTTACTGTTGACTTTTTTTTTTTTTTTTTTTGCTCACCCACACTCGACAAATGTGCTCTGCTAAGACAGCTGCTTCCAGTCGTGCTTGAAATGTGGTCAGAATCTGGCGTTGTCTTGTCAGCAGCAGCAGCGTGGGGACGAGACTCTGTGGGGGGGACAGCGCCCTGCTGGTCCAGAGCACAAAACATCTGGAATAGGTCCTGTTCTTTATATAAAATATACAGACAGTATAGCCACTGTGTGCAGGGCATCATGTGTCAACTCCAGAACTAATGACGGTTTTCTGCGTACAGGGAGCTCAGATTCCACCCACCAGCGCATAGATGCCCCCCAACAACCATGTCCTGGTTCCTGGGGGCTGGAGCTCATCCCAGCTGACATTGGACAAAAGGCATTCTGGACAGGTTGCCAGTACATCACAGGACTAACACAAAGAGACAGTCATGCATGCTCACACTCACAACGACAGCCCATTTAGAATCGCCAATTAACCTACCATGCATGACTCTGGACTGTGGGAGGAAGCTGCAGAAAGCTCATGCAAGCACAGAGAGAAGATGCAAACTCCAGAACCTCCTTGCTTAGAGGGGACAATGCTAAACAACAACAACATCTTTGTCATACGTTTACTTCCATCCAAGCAGGTGTGTACTGAAAAGGTGCTCCATATACCAGCAAAGCCTGATCCTCTTACATCAGTTTACCCCAAACTGTCAAAATGCTATAACTTCAAATCATTGTCTGGGCCAATTCTTTAGAAAACCAGAAAAAAAAAATACAGCAGTTAATCAAATGGATGCTTGTGTTAAGGGTGAGTAAGTCTTTTTATGTTTTGCAGGAGTCTTGAATTGAAAGATCTGTCGGTCTGTCAGCAGCTAAGTCCAAAGCATGATATTTCTAAATATATTTGTTGGATCAACACGAAACTTTGTGACAACACTCCTTCATGTTTGCGTGAGACCTGGCAGCTCTGATGCCCCCACAGTCCTCTCTCTAGAGCCACCAGCAGGGCATCTGCTCTGCTCTTCTTTAAAAGGCTTTTGACACGTATTTGTGACACATCAGTGGGAAGCTGAAGTTTATGTATGGAGCTTAGAAGTGAAACAACACTAGGAACAGATAAAATACACCGAGTAGAGACTAGAAAAGGAAGCGATTTTACCACTTGAGCCTTTTGATGTTTAACATCTGTGTAAGAAAAGTTGATTTCATTGAGATTTAACGCAGAATAAAACAACAGACTGGGATGAGAAAATAAAAAGAGAATCTCTTCTAATGCACAAACTGTTCTGTATAAACGAACATTATGATAAAAAATACTTCTTGGCAACCTATTTTTCTCAATGAAAAAAAAACAAAGAAAGAAAACTATGATGAAATAGTTTATGTTAAACTTAATCAACATCGGGCGCCAACGCTAACACAAAGTATGGAAGAAGTTGTTGCTGATAAGAATTGGATTAGCGCTGTAGAAACTGACCCGGATTAACAGTCAGGCCGCGGGGAGCCACAAGCCGAAGCTTACAGGGCACACAAATGATTCAAATAGAATTCTATTTGGGATTTATGTCTGTGTGTATTTATCTCAAGCACCGTAGAAATTGACCTGCCAGGAGCCTTGAGGTGGGTCCTGCTTTATCTTGAGGTCCTGCGAAAAAAAATACAATTTGTTTGTTTGCTTTTGTTTTCGTTTTTATCACTTTTGGCTGATATTCGTTAATTAGTGTGCTTAATTGCATTGTTATTCCAGCAGGAGAAGAAGCTAGATAAGAGCTGAGTTTTGCACCAGCTGGTAATCAATTATAATAGTATAAAATACGCTAAACAAACAAACTGAGAATATAGACTTATTGAAACTGACAGTTTTGCTGTTTGGGCTGAAACCTACAACATTACTAAACAACAGAATGAAGCAACCAGGTACGGCTATGCTAATGGGCAGATGGAGATGAGGGTCAAAGTGTGTCCATCATTTGCGCCACACATCTGTGACACAGAGAGGTCTGAGGCTGTCGACGCCCACAGATGTTGAATGGTGATGTGTGGAGAATCTGCAGGTCTTGGTTGAACTGGGTCATTTCAAGTTCCTATAACAGGCCAGTAAGTATTCTGGAGGACCCATGTTGAAGCATCAGGTGTTGCAGTGAATAATTAAAATTGGTGTGAGGATTTCATCTCCATATCACTGGGCAGTGAGAACGCCACCGATGAAACGCGGACACGTTTTTTTTTTCTCCATCCCTGCTCATACCACGGTGTAGACATCTGTACACTGTTCTCCAGTGTGACGCCAAAGGTGACGTCTGCCATCTGCTTTGAACAGCTGAGCTCCATTACTGGAAAGGTCTGTACTCCATCCTGCTAGCGGCCAATAAACATGAGTAGTCGCCCGCCGGAGCTGATTACGACGCCGTTCTGCTGTTGGACCAAGGTCTTTGTGTGGGCAGTGAGATCGCAGAGCAGCTTCCTCAAGAGATTCCTCACAGTTGGAGCAGGTATTGTCTGGTTGCGTACGTCAACATCTTCGTTTGTATTTCAAGGACGAGCTGGATTTGATGATCTGTTGTTGGGGTGGTGGAACCTGGTGTGGGATCTTGTAGCAGATTGTTGTATTGTGCTGTCGGAAATGATTTCTTAGATGACAAATGGTGGAGTTGTGGACATTCAAGTGTCTGACGATGGCTCTAACTGTGCTGCCAGCATCCAACAGCCTTTTTTATGTGTTTCTCATCACATGTTGCATCATAAAGTTGCATTTTAAAGCCGACACTATTTAAAGTGTGTCTTTTAAAGGCACATCTGACTATAATGTGGATGAACCTTCATCTCCAGCTGAGCAGCTCCCATCCTTTGTGTGGTTAAATTCCTTTTTTCTATCCAGAACAATAGCACAATTGAAACTTTTTTTTTTCCTGTAAGTGAGAATAGAAGACCATTTGTGTCCAATGAAAACCCGGTTTATTTATAGTCGTGTACTTGAGTGTAATTCATAGTTGACTGGGTCATAAATATTTACTCGGGGGGCAATTATGGTGTAAGTTTTATTGAGCTGCAGCTGTCTTCCTCTCTGCTGGCCTTTTCAGTTGCTGTTCACCAGTCTGTGCTGTTGCCCAGTTTGTCAGCAAAAACCCAAACTAATAATGTGTAATTCTCCCATCTGCCTGCCTTCACTCTTTCTCTCCTTTCTGTCATTGGTATAAACCACAAAGTCCTGTTTCTGTCACTTTACAGGACTGACTTAACCATAACCTAACCTCAACCTAACCTTACACTAACTTCACACCTAAAATTAAACCTCTTGCATGATAAAGACTTGGTTTTTTTTCGTCCCCTAAAGTGAGGCAGTTTCCCACAATGTGGCTGTGTAAAATATTCATGTCCTCACAACATGACTAATACAAGCACACACACTGGAAATGCTCCAAATACTTACACCGCAACACAACAAAGCCACTTGTATCAGCAGGAAGCGAAAACATGCATTTCTAACATTTTTAATCAAACCTAAAATATTCCACAATAGCTTAACTGGTGCGCCTGCACACACACACACACTGCACACACTCCTCCAGCGTGAGCACGACACACTCGTGCACACACACACACCACGTAGAGAGTGTGTGTGTACAGAAGAGCTTTACTTGCAGTATTTTAAAGTTGAGATGTGGGGAGAGTGCAGGGACGTGGCACGGGAAATGGGACAATTACATAAAGACTAATAAAAGCTAGCAGGCTGATGATAAGCACAAAACGGGTTGGAGAAGAAGAGTAGAGCTTCATATAAATTTTTTTTAATGTTCTACAATCATAGAAAAAAGTAACTTCTGACTGGAAACTGCATCCAAACCACTTTAGGAAGCAAACCTTTTGTTTCAAACTATAATTAATAGTTTCATTTGCAAAAACAGCTATCTCCCTTTTCATTTATTTCCCCGAATTAGATTTTTTAATAAAGCCCCCCAGACACGATCAACTAAACCGGTTTATCAATTTGAGGAATAGTTTTTATCTGCTTTTGCAAATGAGCTCAGGTTGGCTCCATAAAATAAGCAAACTACACAGAGTAGAATGAGCCAAATGAAATGTCACTGGTGTGCTGACGGAGGTTATTATTTCCAGTATTTACAGTTTAGAAATCATTTGGATGAAAAGGATGATGTAGAGAGCACTTACTTGATACCAGTCAGTTGTAGAGTCAGGGGAAAAGTTCTGTCTCTCTTGTTGCTTCTGTCTCTCGGTCATGCACCTCCCCTAACCCCCTGCTTTTGTCTCCCAAACCAGTTCATTCTGGTTGCATTAGCCCCATTCACCCCACGCCCTCAAAAACACACTGTGACAAACTACCCAACACACATACAAGCTCTCTCTCTTCCTCCCCTCTCTCTCTCTCTCTCTCTCTCTCTCCCTCTCTCTCACACACACACACACACACACACACACACACACACACACACACACACACACACACACACA